CAGGATTTATGGGACAGAAAGGCAGGGGAAAGAGGAGAAAGGGAGTATTTTGAGGTCCTGCACTCAGCTCATGGTGCTGATACCTTTAAATTGGAGCCAGAGATTTAAAAATAAACTTTGGAAGTGATAACAAGACATCCAAGTCCTCCAGCCACTTGGCCAGCTGGGGATGGAGTCTGGTGTCATCCCTGATGGGACAGCAGAGTACCTAGTGCAGGCTGGGCTGCTCCTCAGGACCCACCATGGTGCTCACACCACTGGGACCTGCCCTGTGGGGTTTAGTCACAGCCATTGGGGGTCCAGGGTGATCTGAGGTAGCAATGCTGGAGGGACAATGCTTAAAGGCCTTGAAAACTGTCCCCATTCATCCTGGGTGTCCGTGGTAGCACTCAGCACTCTTCCAGGAACCCCTTTTCCACCAAATATCTGAGTTATGGGGTTGAGGCTGTGGAGGATAAAACTGCTCAGCCTGTGCTGCTGTCCATCTGGGAAGCAGCCAGGATGAACATTTCCATGCCTTGAAATATCTTTTAGCACCAGGGAAGGAGACAAACACCATTTCATCCACATCTCATCAGGGACACTGTGACATTTCTGGTGCCTGGATGCAACATCTGTGGGGGCTGCGAGACTCTGATCCCTTAAATCTCCTCGTGAGCTGAGGATGGGGCAGAGCCCAATCTAGGTCAAGCCCAAATGAGATAAGGCACCTCTGCCCTGTGGTTTAGTGCTGTTTGCAGGATGCTGCCTTGCCCCTGGACCATGCTGGGTTTTCAGCAAAGATGTCTGGTGCTGTGTCAAGCCACAGCAGATTGATGTGTTTGTTTTGGCAGCTGTGCACATCTCTCAGTTAGGAAAAGCCTGATTAATCCCAGGGATGGCTTTTCCTAGCAAACCACAGCCACTGAGTGAAAAGAGCCCTGGCTGCCCACATCTTTTGATGGCTTTATTGGAAATGTTAAAGGAGATACCTGGATAGCAGCATAAGCTATGGGTGCATCCGAAGGGTGAAAAGAAGATCAGAGAATTTAATGAGAAATTTTTTGCTGAACCAACCCCCATCAAAGCCCTAGGGTTTATATTGGTGAATAATTTGTTTTCATGTGGTGGTAGTGACTGGTAGTGGCATCTCCCCTGATCCCACAAAGGAGTTGCTGGTCTAGGAATTTTCTGTAGACATGGATCCTGCTCAGTGTTGCTGCTGGTTTCTGCAAGATGATTTTCCAGTTTTTTAGAGAGGAACAAATGAACCATAAGTCAGGAACTTGTGGAAGCATGTTCACCACAAGCCTCTGGATTACAGCAAGCAGCTGTCATCTCTCTTCACTGGCTTTTCCAAATTGGAGACATCCCTTTTGCACAGATAAATCAGACACTTTGTGACTCTCTGTCTCTCTCCACTATGTATTTTCAGATCAGACTCACAGTTCTGGGAGTCCTGATGCCAATTCCCTGTGCCTTTGGGAAATCAGACTGCAGGTGAGGACAGTAGCTGAGGAGGTGAGGAGCAGAGCTGCTCCCATCACCATGGGGACAGCGATCCATATCCTGATCTGACTTTGGTTTATTCTCCTGCCAAGGAGGCACTTGGGTCACTGCTGCACATGTCCCAGAAAGGCAGAGCACAATTTCCACAGGACAGGTGAAATATGCTGCTCAAGCACTGTGCTTCAGGAAAGTCTTTCCCTGCATTTCCAGGACACTCCCTTTCCCTATTTAAACCCATATAGGCAGGGGAAGGTGTCCAGGCATTTCTGTCAGGCCACAACCTGAGCATGGGCTTGGTGTCACAGCTGCTCTGGCTCTGACCAGAGATGGCCCCAGTGTGGCATCTGGGATGAATATTTCGGGTATTTATTATCCATAGGTGGCAGCAGCTGCCTGTGCCGGGCGGCCGCTGCCCTAATCCCAAACCTGGCAGCGAGAAACAGAGCCGGGAACAGGCAGGGGAGGAGGAAGAGGAGGAGGAGCGAGAGAGGGAGGAGGGGAAAAGGAAGACAAGCCTGAGCACAGGTCCTGCCTGCTCCCTCCTCTGCAGCAAGAGGTCCTCAGCAGAGGGAGAATCAGGGAAGCGCCTCCGTGGGGCAGGATCAGGCTGCACAGCGCTGTGGAGAGCTCAGGTCTGCGTTACTGATCAGACTGCCGGAGGAGCTGGGGCTGCCCCATCCCTGGAAGTGTTCAAGGTCAAGTTGGACAGGGCTTGGAGACCTCTGGATTAGTGGAAGGTGTCCCTTCCCATGGCAGGGAGCTGAAAGGAGCTGAGCTTTAAGGTCCCTTCCAGCCCAAACCAGTCTGTGGTTCTGCTGCTGTGCCAGGACTAAGTGCTGCCTTCTTACCCAGGAAGAAAATTGCTGCATACTCTGATGGGGAAGGGGCTGCTGGGCGACCTTTTCTTGACCAAATTCCTGGAGCCACTGGGATGTCACATCCCTAGGAAGATTGTGGTGGCAGCATGAAGCCACTGGGGTACCCCAGACACCCACTGATGCTGGCCCACAAGTGCTAGTGGAGTCCAGAGCCAGCAGCTCCTTCAGCTCTTCAGCTTTTGCCAGCTTCCAGAAATTTCTGCCAAGTTCAAAATCACACAAAAGCCTCTTCCTCAATGGCCCACACAAATGGCAGATAACAAAAGCCAGTTGCCAGAAGCTAAAAGCCAAGCAAACTGGATAGACTTGCAGTCCTGGGTTCTAACCTAGAGGCTCTAATGAGAGGAAAACCAAAGAGAAAAATCTATCCAAATCTTGTCATCTGCTCACTTTAAAAGTACAATTTCTTGATCAATAGAAATGAAATGTATCTTCCTCTTTTCAACACACCTGATATGAACAGGCTTTGTCCTGGGAAACCAGACTGGCTGCTCAATCTCCCCTGGCTGCTCTGTCCTACCCATGCTGCTCCTGCTGCATCATTAAGGCAAAATGGAATTGATTTTGAGAGGAAAAGCAGAACAAGGCACGATTTGCTGGAGACGAATCCCCCTGAAGTAGCAAAACCCCAGTTCACCCCTCATGTCTGTGGGGGCAGCATCACACCCCCAGTGTTATCTGCTTAATGAGCTGATCCTTTAAAAGCAGCCCCAAATGTGGGTGTAAGTGGTGTAATTGCACAGAGGGATTGGGGCAGGTTTGTTCATTTCTGCTCTATCATTAATTAAAGCAATTAGCCTGCTCAGGCTCGGTGGGGTACACAGCCGTCCTGTACCTGCTGGGGAGAAGATAATCCTTTATAGAATATAATCTTTCTATCAATACACTCTAATTGCTCTGTGCATTATTAGGGGGATGGAGGATGCAGGAATACATCTCTAGGGAGCTGAGGAGGAACCTGAGAGATGACACAGGCTACACTAAAACAAAAGTGACTTCTCATGTCTGAAGCACTGAATTTTTAGCCTTCTATCATTCCCTTCCAGGCCAGGAAAATCTCCCAAGCCTGTGCCCTGGAACTCTCCATGCTGTGTAGCCAGGCAGGGCTGGGAGCAAATGGACTGGGAGTGCCAGGACCCTGAAATCCAACCAATGATCAAACCCAGTCACGCAGCACAAAAGCAAAGCCTTATGCTGGGCATGAAAACAACCACGTGGCTGTTTAAACTGCCTGTTGGAATTCGTGTATTCAAAGTCCATCTCAACCTTCAGCCAAACTGGAAAGCACTGAGTCAGTATAATCAGTGGGGAAACTGAGGCACGGCTGGAGGAACTCGGTCCCCAGCTGGACCACACACGTGCTTGTGTTGTGCTTTAACCTCTGGAGTAAATTTTGGAAAGAATCTATTTATTTACAGACTTGTGGTGCCAAGGCTTTCCCTGAAAGCTGTGCTGGCTGCTGTCCTCGGAGGGTGCGTGCAGTGTCCATGCCAGCAGCCACGGCAGTGGGCAGTGTGGCCTTCTTGTGTCAGCTGGGGACGTGGCTCACACGGAGTGTCCCCATGCTGGGGTGGTCACACCCCACTGAGAAACACACCCCTGAGGGCAGCTCGGCCCTTTTACTGCCCCACGAGCTGTGCAGGGAGATCGATGTCCTGGAGCAACCCAGGGCAGCCTCCCCTGGCACTGGTTCCTCGTCCTGATGATTAAAGAATAACTCCAGGTTAATAAGGAAAAAAACAACTGGAGGGGAATGAAGCTCGTTGCTGGAGGAGTTTGTGACAAAACCACCCCAGGTTGGGATGTGGGCTCCCTTCTGCCTTCAATCACTAAATGGTTAAAGCATCACTCCCCAAAAATGTTCTTTCCCACAGCTGCACCCAAACTGCAAGGTTTTACTGCAGCCCTCAGTGTGCTGGGCTGCAAAGCTCTGCTCTGGAGCATTACTGAATTTTAGGGGAGAGAAAATTAGCAACATTTTAGGTATGACAAGTACCAAACTGCCTTTGTGGAGATACCTTAAGGCTCTGGCTTCTCTTAGAGTGTTTTGTTCTCAACCTCATTTCCATTCCAAACAGAAAGAAACTTTCTCTTCAACAGATCTGCTTCCTCATACACACATCTATTGCCTTGGCTCTCCCAGCCTCACATCCCACAAACCAGTGGTTTATGAGCAGCACCTGTACAGGATGCTACCCTGGTACCCAAACACAGAGGAGCTGCTCTGTGCTGTGGGTTGCACTTTGGCCTTGCTGCAAGCGTTTCCTCTGAAGTAAAGGCTTCTTTTCCAAAACTGATAAAACCCAGCCAACTCAGAATCCCTCGAATCCGTATCTATTTATTTTTCATGTTTACCCTCATTTTAAACGCAGCATTGCTTGAAAGGAGAAAGAAACTCCTCCAGCTCGGAACTGGAGCCGCACCACCTCCGAGATGAGGAGCGGGATGAAGAGCGGGGTGTGGATTTTTGGGAGCAGCCCCCTCTCCCCGCGCTCGGGCCGCTGTCGGGCCGTCCCGCGATCCCTCGGCGGGTGTCCCCTCTCCCCGCCGCGACAATCGCGACCGAGCCAGGGGCGTGTCGGGGCCCGCCCCCGCTGCCATCGGCGGTGCCGGAGCGGATAAAGCGGCGCTGCGGGGGCGGCTCGGCAGCGCCGCGGCTCAGGCCGTGCGGTGCGAGCGATCCGCGGCCCCGTGCCGGACCCCCCTGCCCTGCCCGGCCCCGCCGGAGCCCGCCGGAGCCCGCACACGGCCCAGGTGCGCTGCCGGGGGGGACAGGGGCGGCCCCGAGGCTTTGCTTTGCCAGGGGGCTGCGCTGGGTGGCTGTCGGGAGGAACTTCCCCGTGCCTCAGTTTCCCCGCGAAGGAAAGGTTGGTTCGCGGTGTCCGCCAGCTGTTGGCGGCTGGCGCGTTTGACCCCCTGAGGGGTTTTTTAGAGCTTTTTTGGGGAATTCTTAGAGCTTTCTTGGGTCGGACTGGGGGAAGAGTTAGCTGCTGGCAGGAAGGTGTTTTGTACCCGGAAGAGGGAAGGAACTTCTCCAGTTCAGAACTGGAGCTAGACCACATCAAAAGTGAAGGGCGGGCAGGTTTGTCCCGGCTGTGGCTGATGGGGAGGCTGCTGAGGACAGGCTGGGGCTGGAACTTCTTGCAGGAACACCCTCGGTGTGTGCCCCAGCTCAACATTTCTTTGCTTCTTATGCAACATCCGCCCGCGATTTTGTAACTCCAGATGTTGATCCAAGGAGGGGAGCTGGGTTCCTGCAAGAAAAACACTCGGGGTGGGGCTGGGGGCTCGGGAAGGAGCTGTGCCAGGCTGTGCTCTGCGCAGGCAGTCGTGTATGATGGAATTATTTTGGCTTTGCACGTAGCTCTTGGAGCTCTGTGGATTTAATCCGTGTGCAGTGAGCACCAGCCGCCGTTCCCAGTGCAGGGCTGCACGTCCAGTACTCACACTGGTTCCATTTACACCCCTGCAGTTTTTGGGGTGCAGGGGCGGGTCAGGGTGGGTGCTGACAGCTGCCTCTGTGCTCCCAGGTTTAGATCTGCACAAGAACCAAGATCAGGAACCATGGCATCCATCCCATCCAGCGGCTCGCTCATGGCCACGCACAACTATCGCAGAAGTAAGGGCAGCCTGGGGGCCAGGGGGGGCTTGGGGTGGTGGGTGAGCACATGGGGGTCTCTGCCAGCTGTGGGGGGCTGTGGCTCCAGCAGAGATGGAGCTGAGCTCAGGTCTGTGCTTTCAGCTGCAGCCCCATGTGAGTGTTTGCTGAGAAAAGGGCACAGCCAGCAGTGTCCCTGCTGCTGCCCAGACCCTCCTTGGGGCCCCCCAGCCCATCTGTACCAGCTGGTGAGGGGGCTCAAATCTCTTCAGTTGTTACTAAGATTGTAGGGGATGGGGTGGACGGTTTCACCCTGCACTGTTGCTTCAATAGTGAGCTCCAAAACCAGTCTGGGCAATGGCTGTTCCTGGTACCTCACCCAGGAGAGAGTTTCTGGTTTAATGGATTGCTTAAACCAGAGGGAATTAAAGGATTCTCCTGAGATGAAACAAGCAGCAGGCTTGTAGCTGTTTACTAAAAGCACATGGATTATACACAGGAATTTATTTGCATCCGCTTGGCCTCAAGTCGTCTGCAGAGGCCTCTCAAAGCCACTCAATTTTGTCCTTGGGGTTGCAGGTTTTTTCCTGCAGAGGTGTCCAGGTGTTTTTCTGCTCCCTGTGGTTGGAATCTCCCCAGTGTTCTCTTCCTAGTGGTTTTTACTGGCCTGGCACTAAACTGGGCAAGTAGTGGAGTGAGTCAGTGATGAGGCTGAGCCGTATCAACCAGGCACAGCCTCACCAAGGCTGTGGTTTCCTTCTCATGGCACAGCCATGGGTCAGCAGTGGTTCTGATGGCCATGATTTTTCCACAGGGCGCCTGAGCTCCACATCCAGCACCAGCTCCTGCAGCTCAGAGTACTCTGGGGAAGTCATCCCCCATGGCCCGGGTAAGTGTCACCTGTCCTGGCTCACTCTGCTCCCAGTCCCTCCTTGGGAGCTCTTACTGCAGGTGACCCAGCCTCTCCTGTGGGGCGAGGCTGGGGTGCCCAGGTGGCACTGACCTGGACTCTCCCTGTCATGCACCGTTCCTCAGACCTGCCCAAGTCTGACCCCGGCCAGTGGTGGGCCAGCTTCTTCTTTGGGAAGACAACTCACCCAGCCATGACAACGGTGTCAGAGTCCCAGGAGAGGTGAGTGCTCACACGGGGGAGCACCAATGCAGCACCCAGGCCACGTGGGGCTGTCGCTGCTGCATCCCCCCGGGCGCATCCTGACCCAATGGACCGCGTCCTGCCCAGGGCTCCCGAGCCTTCGCTGCAGGAACAAACGCAGAGCCGTAGTGCCACGTCTGGGGGCTGGCACGATGGCTGACTGTCTCTCTGCTGTGTGTTACAGCCTGGGAGCTCTGCGGGTGGCCACAGGACCCGTAGCCTGCGGGCTGGTGGCAGCCCCGGGCGCAGGGCGGAGGCGCCACGCCAGCGAGTCCAGCGCGGGCCCCGCGGTGTGATGCGGGCGAGCATCCCGGCTCCGGGGTGCTCCCTCCCACCCCGGCGGGCACAGCCCCTCCCCTGTAGAATAGCCGGCTGCTCCAAGCAAAAAATTGCGCTGCTTTCTGATGGAAAAGCGCAGCAACCCCGACGATTCCACTCCAACCTTTTTTACTCTCTCCCGGTGTAACTAAGCCCTCTCGAAGCAGATGTGGTAACACGTTTTTATTACCTTCAACTCGTACAATGGCAATGAATAAACTTGAGCAGCCTTTTAAAACGTTTGTGGGTTGTTTCTGTCCGGGGAGGGGGACAGCAGAGCGGTGCTGGGGGTGTTGGTGGGGCTGGACCAGGACACAGCACAGAGCAGCAGCAGGATGTGGTGGTGCCAGGTATCACGTGCCAGCCTGACTCACTGGGCCCATGTGTGTTTTGCACATGAGCAGGATCTGGCCGGGCTGTGGTGGTGTTGCAAACGCCTTCCCTCGCCCTCTTCTCTCCTTACTTGGCTACACAGCCTGTCCCTGCTGGCACTGAACTTGTTTTGTTCCCTGAACACACGGCTGCTCTGCACTGCTTTGGTAGCTCGAGGGCTAGGAGCCAGTGCCAGGGCCTGAGCAGGTGTGGCTGGGGCTGGGGGAAGGATTTGGGGTGCACAGTGACCCCTCCATAATGAGAAGAGAGATTAAACTTGCTGAAGACATGCATTTATGTACCTGGCTATCAGGCTGGAGCTCATGGTGTGGATGGCAGCTCAGAGGCTGCACTGGGTTTGCAGCCCTGGATCCCAATTGCCCCAAGTGCTGTTTTACCTGATTTTTGCCTTCAATGATGCAGTTTGGCTGTTTGATCCTTCCATAACCAGCCCAATGGCTGGGAAAACAAGAGCCTGCATGAAGGGAGTGCCTTTGTTCCTGCTGGAGGCAAAAAAAAAACCTTGGAGCTGTTGATTTAAAGCTGTTGATTTAAAGTGCCAAATCTTCCTGCTCTACTCCCAGCCACAGCATGAGGTGTGGGGCTGTCCCTGTGGGCACCAGGTGCTGCAGCCCTGGTGGCAGCTGAGGCCGTGGGACCCCTGAGCTGTGACTTTGCCTCCTGGTGTCCCGTGCTGGCAGAGCAAAGGGCAGGGAGCAGCTGGGGGCAAGTGGCTGCTCTGCTTTGTGGCTGCTTGAAGGGGCATCCAGGGTCACTTCCAGTTCTGTTGTTTTTACAGTGGAAAGTGTTGAGTAAGCTTTTCACTGAGCTCTGCTCCCCCAGGCACTGGTCCTTGCCATCAGGGCAGAGTGTCTGTGTCCCCTGTCCCTCCAAGGGGCCAGGGCAGCACTGGCACCTCTGTTCCCCCTGGGTCAGTGTGTGCATCCAAGGGGGATGGCTCCAGGGGTGTTCCAGCAGTCTGGGCACTGCCAGCACCCCAAAGGTGACCCCCATGTCCATGGCAGCATCTGATCTGATGTGACTTCCAGTCAGGCAGCAAACTGTTGTTATTGTGGGGCTGCACATGGCAGCCTTTAAACAGATGAAACACAGGAAAATCGTTATAAAATAAACCCTTTCTGGCTAAGACAAGGCAAGGAGGGGTGGCTGGCTGGGACGTGTGGGGCACTGCCAGCACCCCGAAGGTGACCCCCATGTCCATGGCAGCATCTGATCTGATGTGACTTCCAGTCAGGCAGCAAACTGTTGCTGTTGTGGGGCTGCACATGGCAGCCTTTAAACTTCATGAAACACAGGAAAATCGTGATAAAATAAACCCTTTCTGACTAAGACAAGGCAAGGACGGGTGGCTGGCTGGGACGTGTAGTTGTGGCACTGCCCCAGGGTCTTCCCAGGGCTCAGCAAAGCCCTTCGGGTGCTGCTCAACCCCAGGGTGCCTCAGGGGTCTCCTCTGCTGCTGGTTACCAGCAAAAGCCACATATTTTGGACAGACAAATATTTTTTTCCAAGCCTGGAAATCAGTGTGGACACACAAAGGTAAAGTCAATATCTCTGTATTTGCTTGTTGGTCTTGTGATCATGGAGGGACAAACCCAGCAACTGTCCTCAGGCACCCAGGGGAGGCAGTGACAGAGCAAAGGCACCAGTCCCACATCCCTGGCTTTCATCTGGGCACGTTCCCCAGCCTGATCCAGCTCTAAGTGAGCTGCTCTGTGAGGCCATGAGCACATGGATGCTCCCCTATCCAGTTTTTGGATGCTGGATGAAGGCTAAGTTCATTCCCACACTGCTCCAAGGTGGGTTGGATTTACAGCAGGGACTGCAACACCTGTCAGAGGCTGCCCTTCTGCCCATGGTTCCCTGTCCAGTGAAGCAAAACTGCCTGGAAAACCCCTGATGAGTTAAAGGCTGTTTTTCTGAATGTCTGTGAAGTGTCACAGCCTCAGACTCCTTCTCTGCTGGGAGTGGAGATAGAGAGAGAGTCCAGAACCCCTCAGATGTGCTCCTGGGCAGCTTCATGGCATTTCTCAGAGCAAAGCCCTTGGCATTGCCTTTTTTTGCTTGGGATTGAAAGGATTTTAGGGCCTTTCTTGCCCTTTCACAGCCTGCAGACATTTTGGAAAAGCATCTGACAGCCGAGCACGTTTATTTTTGTTCTGTTTCTGTCTCCACTGCAGTGGGTGTCTGTCTTAAGTAACAAGTGATGAGAGAAAACTCTCATTTCACAATTCTATGGAACAGCCTCAGATTGTGGCAGGAGAGGTTTAGGTTGGCTATCAGGACAAATCTCCACACTGAGAAAGTTCCCAAGCATGGGATTCCCCATCCCTGGAGGGGTTTGAAAGGCCTGTGGATGTGGCCCCTGGGGACATGGGTTAGTGGTGGCCTTGGCAGTGCTGGGGGAATGGCTGAACTCAAAGATCTTAGAGGGCTTTTCCAGCCTAAGTGATTCTATGATTCCAGCTGATTTCCTGTGTCCTCGTGTTGCTGCTGTGGTGGGATAGCAAGGGAAACATTGTGCAGTAGAAGCAAGGTAATGAAAGGGGTTCCCCATACACTGCACAGCTCCCTAATCAATCCCCTTCTTCCTGCAGGGAGGGGCAAGCACACACCTCCTATGGCATCAGCTCCACAGGGACTGACGTCCCCCCTCTGCTCCCTCGATGGTGTTTTAACTGTTGATTAATGCACGTATTTGCTAAAAACTCGCTGGTGTTTTCTGCTCACTCGTCCTTTGCAGCAGCCCTCGTGCCACCCCACCGCCTCCAGCGAGAAGTACTTCTTTCCATTCCCTGCCTCTTGCTGCTGGGGGTTGTTTTGGTTTGGTTTATTTCCCTCCAGCAGCTCTGCTTCCCCCTCACCCTTCAAACGCTGATGTGGGACATTAAAAATAGAAATGAGCTGTGCAGCTGAAATACATCACATTAGCCCGAGGCTGCTTCCAAATGCCACTGGGTCAAGGCTCCCATCCTTGAATCCTGAAACGGGCACATGCCAGGCTGCAAATGGAGCAGGAGGTGCCTGTAACAGCAGGATTTGCAGTGCCCACTCCAGAGCAGTGCTGGAGGGACTTGGACCCCAGCATTCCTGCCTTTGTGGAGCAGATTAAGGAAAAGCCTGGTCCAGTTTTGGGGGGAGGGCTGCAGTGCCCAGCTCAGGCTGAGATCATGGGAGCAGATAGGAAAATTTGGGTTCCCCTCCCCACCCACTCCCCCCCACCCCCAACTTTATCTACTTTTAGAAAACAAGTAATGACTCTCAGAAATGCCAAAACCCAGCAGACTGTGATGGAGGGCAAACCCAGGTTTTTCATGCAGCAGAGGAAGAGGAGGAGGAAGGAAAACTGCTGTGGGCAGCACCGTGTCATTACATCCCCAAGAGCTCCCTGTGACTGCTGAGTGAGCTGGTTCTGGGCCATGTGTGTGACAGGCTGGTGCCCTGCCAGCCCCCCTGGCATCTCTGGGTACCCCACCGTGGATGGCTGTGCCCCACACCAGCCCCATCACCCCACGCACGCCCTTCTCCTCCTGCTTATTTTTGAGCTCCATCTGGTGGCAGCCAGACCTGCAAATTTGGTCTTTATTGCTATTTGAGCAGCCTGGTCTAGTGGAAAGTGTCCCTGCCCGTGGCAGGGGGTTGGAACAAGGTGATCTTGAAGGTCCCTTCCAACCCAAACCATTCTGTGATTCTGAGGTGCTGCAGCCTCCCCTCACCGTGTCCCTGCCCTTCCTTAGTGTGCCACAACCCTTCACCTGCTGGATGTGCCTTCAGTCTTTACTTTCCTGCAGGAGAGGACCTGGGCTGGACATAGCTGTGCTCTCTGCTCAGGTGTTTGATCAAGCTGAAAAATGTTTGTGCAAGGAGAGGATTTCCTCTTGCAACCTTGTCCAAACCCAACCTGTTGCTTTTTCCATCTGGGAACACTCCAACCAGGAGCTGCTGCCTTCCCAGGACAGGGCTGCAGCTCTACGGGAACAGAGCAGGCTTCATCCCACCCCTAAACCACATTCCTGCCTCCCCTTTCCAGGCCCCTCGTGCTTGGAGACTTGCTCAGCCAACAGCCAGACTTGTTTCTGCTGCTCTGCACAGCATGGACACTGCCCAGGCATGGGGAATGTTATATAAACTTTATTAACTTTATAAATTCCAACGTTGCTGTTGGCTCAGTCCCACTGGTCACCTGCAAAGGGGCAAGATGAGCTTGTCAGGAGGAATTCTAAACCTCTGCCAGTTGCCTTTCACCCACAGCCTGTCTGCTCCTGCCACCAGTGCCACAATTGTGTTAGGGCTCTAACAGCCCCACTCGGGCTGCCCCTGCCTGCACCAGCCTGGAGCCTTGACATTGCTCCAATTCCTGCTTTTCCATGTGTTTTTCCACTGCTGCCAAGGACAGTCCTGGCTCTGGGAGCGTGCATGGGCAGGGGGCAACAGGGACTTGGTGGAGCAAACTCTGCCATGGCTAGGGAGGGACCAGAGGCTCAAGGTCGCCCAGCAATGCCATATCCTGGGATTAGGGAGGAGCTGAGGGTGCTGGGAGCATCTCTTGGCTTTCCCCATGGGTGGAATAAAGAGCAAAGTAGGCTGATGCAGGGTTTCTCCTTTGCTGCTTGCACCTGGGATAAGGACGCATTCAATATTAGAACCCAGACATTCATTTTTTCTTGGAATAACCACAGGAGGGTGAGCGAGACAAGGATCCAGAGCAGAGCAGCCCAGTCAGGAGCTGACTGTGCAGAGTCCTCAGGGCATGTGGGGCTCCTGCCTGGAAAAGGGGTGGCAGAGGCACACAGGGGTACTTAGGTGAAGACAGTCCAAAGAAACACAAGAATGGTTTTATCTGTGGTTCCAAGAGTGGGGCTGGTTGCAAATCAGTGCTTCCTTGAACCTGTCCTTGGTGGGCTCCTTGAACCCATCCCTGGAAGTGTTCACACCCAGGTTGGACAGAGCTTGGAGCAACCTGCTCTAGTGGAAGGGGGGTCCATGTCAGGGGAGGTTTGGAACAAGATGAGCTTTAGGGCCATTCCAACCCAAACCATTCCATGATTCCTGGGAGGGAGTGGAGCAGTGTGCTGAGGGAGGAGCATCCAGCAACGCCCTGCGAGGACTCCTGTGGGTGGATGCACACACATTTATTGATAAATACACCGAACACACACTACAAGATAAATCAAGCAGAGCCACAACTGAACATGAACTGCAAACCTTCACGTTTGTGTGGGGAGCAGCAGGGGCCTCCCACCCTACTGAGTGAAGGAAGATGTAAACTTTGAGTGATGCCTCCATGGGGCTTCTCCAAACTGTTACACAGCCAAGTGCTGGGAACGAGTTCTGCACAACTTGTTGCTTTCTCCCTTGGCCACCTCCCTGCACCCTGGCTGAGAGGGACCACAGGCTGTTTTCTGGGGGGATGTGCTTTCCTTGTAGCCCTGTCAGAGGGCAAACCAGAAGGAAGGAACTTGTAGGCAAGAGCTGGCCTGGAGGGGCTTGTGCAGGAAGGATGGTGGGAAGGGGTCCCTCAGGAGAGGGAGCTGAGCAGCCGCCTGTAGATGAAGCCCAGCTTCTCCCTCAGGGCCAGGAAGGTGGGACGCTCCTCTGTGTTGCCACTCCAGCACTCCAGCATGATGCTGTAGATCTCGGGAGGGCAGGGGCTGGGCCGGGGGAGGCGGTAGCCCCTGGTGATTTGCCGTACGGTTTCTTGGTTTGTCATTCCTGCAAGGAAGGAGAAGATGCCCCTGAGTCTGATGTCCCCAAAGGATGCCCTGAAGGTACACCTGCGGTGGCCAAGATGTCACTGGCGATGCTGTGAAACTGTCTCTCTGCCAGAGGGGTGGTAGAAAAGAGGATCTGGGAGATCCAGACCAACTCCTGCACCCACTCTGCAACCTCTGAATATCCTTCTAAGCCATCCCTAAATTAACAATAACCTGCTCATGCTCCAGGAGCTGCTTCCATATCCCTTAGGGAAGGGACAATACAGAATTTCATGACCCTCTGGCTTTTGGGGACCATGGGCAAGCTGCCCAGCAGGTGGATGGAGAGGGGCAGCAGCCCTACCTTCATATGGGATCTGTCCATACGTGAAGACCTCGTAGAGCAGAATCCCATAGGACCAGACGTCGGATTTGAGGGAGTAGGTGCGGTAATTGGCTGCCTCTGGGGCTGTCCACTTCACTGGGATTTTAGTGCTGCTGCTGGTGGAATAGATGTCATCCTGAAAAGCAATGGCAGACAGGACATGAGGGATGGGGTGAACAGCACAGACACGAGTTTTGGGGCTGGCAGGGATTGCCTCCATCATGGGACAGCTCTATGAGCTCAGGTAGTGGCAGGGAGGGACCACAGCATCCCCTGAACTGACCTTGAGGAGCCGGGCAAGCCCAAAATCAGCGATTTTGCAGGTGAGTTCCTCTCCAACCAGGATGTTTCTGGCTGCCAGATCCCGGTGGACAATGTGCTTCTCCTCCAGGTACCTCATCCCGTCTGCCACTTGGCAGGCAATGTTGAGCAGGTGGGAGGTGCCCAGGGACTTCCCTTCAGGACCTGTTAATCCAGACAATCCAAGCACTGGGGGCAATCTACCAACAACTTTTTTGGTGTTTTGGTTTGGAAGGAGACCCTGTGCTGGCAGTGTGGGACATGGGGAATATGTAAAACTGCAAATTTGCATCCTCAGCCTGGTGCTCTGAGGAGCACCAAGGTCACAGATATCCATGGCTTGTTCAAAGCCAAAGGTGACCTTCTGCCATGCCAATCTCCCTGCAGGCCTCTCAGCCTGTTGTACCTGTGAGCTCCAGCTCTGCTTCTGGAGCCCCAGTCAGACACAAGGTCAGTGTGGGTGGGAGGGGAAGCACCCTGGAGAAAAACAGGTCTTGGTGGGAGCGGTTTGTTTGATTGTGCTGGGTCAGGGAAAGAAAGGCCAAGGAAATTAAACTAGGTGATGAGTGGTCCACGGCATGTTATGAGCTCTGCACACGAACAAACCCACGGGGAGGTTTGGCTGTTTCATTGGTAAAGAAGGTGGAGTTGCCCAAACACAGCAGTGAGATTGTGTGCTCTGGTGGGAGCTGGCAGACCATGGGTAGGTGGGGGAGGGATGAAGGTCCCTACCAACGAGCTTGGGCTCCTAGGGGTTGATACAGACCCAGCCCACATGGACATCCAAAGGATCATGGCAGACTTTGTGATCCCATCTCCACCAACTGCCCATGGATTGCTCTGTGTTACCACTGATCAAACAGGGCAGAAACCAGGCTGGCACTCCCTTAGGGTCCCCATTCAGATTCATAGGGCCGCTCTGAGGCACAGGAAGCAGTGTCCCAGGATCCCCCATCCCGTGGGGCCAGCACAGCACTCACTGTTGAGGTAGCTGTGGAGGTTGCCTTTGCGCATGAGCTCGGTGATGATGTACACGGGCTCCTCCAGGGAGCACACGGCGTGCAGCTGGATCAGCTTCTCATGCCTCAGGCGCTTCAGGTTCTGAATCTCCTTGGTGAAGTCTTCTGCTTTCATGTCAGCTGTGGGAGAAAGCCAACACAGCCCTTGTGAGCCACTTTCTCATGTAGACATTGGGACCTCAGTGCCTCCAAATGGGATGAGAACCTTTTTTACCTCCTCACAGCCCATCCCTGCTCTCAAAGTTCAGGTCTGCACAACCTGTGTTTCACCACAGCCAAAGAGATGTTTTCCATGGGGGTTTGGGTCTCATTTTCAGGATCACAGTCCCATCAGGACTTGATGTATCACAAACCCATTTGATTTGATGTGATGCCACTTGTCACACACCCACTGGCTGGAGTCATTTTATAGGGACGCAGCCCAAACTTAGGTTTGTGCACAGAAATATTCCAGTGGCTCCTCACCAGGTCCTACTGCAGTTTGCATGATAAAACAGTCAGAGTGGCCAAGAAGATGAGGAAATAAAGGAGGGTCAATGATAATGGCAGTGAACGAGTTGGCTGCTGTTAACATCTGATTCTCCACGTACCTTTAATGATCTTGATGGCCACTGGCACCGTGTTCCTCCACAGCCCTTCCCACACCTCTCCGAAGTAGCCCTCTCCCAGCTTCCTCCGCAGGGTGAACTCCCAGCGCGGGCGCTCCCAGCCGTCCCTCTCGGGGGGAGTCTGGAATGGACATGGAATGGCACACTCGGACCAGCCAGCCAGGCAGGACCTGCTGCTGGAGCCTGCAGCAGCCCTCGGTGCCCACAGAGGAGCAGGACATGGTGCTGCACCAGCCAGGGGCCGAGCCTGAGCACTGCCCTTCCCTCCGTGTTCACTGCGGGCACAGAACACCTGGGGCATCCTCTGCCTGAGCCCTGCTGGGACCCCAGCTGTGTAAGGGGGAGAGTTTGGAGACTACATAAAATATCAGGAGTTCAAGTCATAATTCACTCCTCATCAGACCTCAAAAGTGGCTTTTATCCATCTCCACCAATAAATAAAAATGCATGAATTAATATTACTGCTATTATGGCTGATTTAGACTTCGGTTCATTTAGCATTTCTTTTATCCCACACCTTTCAATTTCACTCTTGGATTATTCACATGGTTAATTGCTATTTCCAAGTCATAATCAGTGGATGGAACTCTAATCAGGAAATGAGCTGGCAATTTGGGATTAATACTGTAATTAGACTTATGAGCACTGCACTAATTGGTATGAAAACTTTATAAAAGCCATGTGTTTTGTCTTATATTCTCAGTAAAAAACTGGAAGCGCATTTCCAGAATTTGTACTGAATGGGATTGTAACAACTTGGTTTCCAGTCTTTGAGACAGACAACACATTTCAGAAAATTCTGTGCATTTTGGCTTGGTCAAAAATACCTATAAATACCACGCCCAGCCTTAACGTGGTGATCAAAGGTGATGCTGGCAGCTATACTAATGGTGGGCTTTAAATTTAGTTTAATAAAGCTCGAAACCCAAACGGACAGACTAATTATTTCTAGTTTCCCTCGTTTCCCTCTCCCTTTTCCCACGCGGGGAAGGCGGGGAGCGGGGCCGAGCTGTGCCCGTACGCACCGCAGGGCTGCAGGGCTGCAGCAGGGGGCTCTGGATGACCTTCCAGTGCTCCGTGTAGAAGGCGAGGAGCTCCTCCATGTTGGGAAAGGGGTGTCCCTTCTGGATGTAGAGGCTGCCCCTGGGGCTCTTGCAGATTCGGAAGTGGCTGACCTTGGTGTGGTTGCGCACTGTGGGGAAGCCCAGGTTGGGGAAAACTCAGCTCATGCAAAGGTCAGTCCCTCCCCACCTCCCTGCTGGCTCCACCGTCTCTCCTTTAAAGATTCCAAGCCTTCTAATAAAGTTAAAGCAACACAGCTCTCCTCTGGACTGCTTCATCCCACTCCCCACCTCCCTTCTGCTCCCACCTCCTGGCCCAGAGGACTCCTGGCCATTGTGAGCCAGGCTCCTTTGGACCACAGAGGTGATGCTTTATTATCAGGGATAATTAATAAGCTTTATTCCCAGGCATAATTCCACCATGGACTGCTCAGACAACATCAGAGCTGCTCAAAGAGGATAAACCAGGAGTGGCTGTGACTCCCACAGCTCAGGGATTGATGGTGGGATGTAGAGTTTGCCATGAATTTTCCTGGGATTACTTTTATGGGGATTAAAACAGATCGTAATGGCACTGCATGGTCCAAAACCTCCTGAATTCAGATTTCAGTATGTGGGAGCAGCCCATGCCCTGGTAATCTGGAGTGGCAGCATATTTTTAAACAGCCCTCAGATGACAAAAGCTGCTGGAATGAAATCCTGGGAGTTAGTGCTGAAGTGAAATGTTTATGGCTTTTGTATCCCAGACAGGAGCCACGCACTTTCCTTTGCCACAGTGATTCAACAATCCACCCCTGCTCTGTAAACTTTCCCTCACCCTCAGAAAGCTGCCCATTCCCTTCAACAAGGTGCTGAAAAGTGCTTTAAACTTATTCTTGTTTTCACCCCATGCTAAACAAACCAGGAGCTGTTCCTAAGTAACAGCCTGCTTCATTTCCCTGTGCTAATTTTATCTGGATAATTGCCACAAGGTCACCTGAGAGAGAGTATTCGCCCTTGCTGCTCTCGCTGTCCCGGACGAGGAAGGAGCCGTGCTGGTTGGGAGGCGAGAGGAGGAGCTGCTCCGCTTCGTTTCGGCTGATCTTGCTGAAGTACCAGCTGGGGAGCAGAGCAGAGGGGTCAGAGCAGGGCAAGGGGATGCTGCACAGATGGGTCTGCATCCATTTCAGGGGATTCTGTATCCTCTGAGCTTGGGAGGGGGAGCAGCTGCTGGTATCACACTGTTTGCTCATTCCTGCAGCCACCAAGTGACACGGTGGCTAGAACATGTCTCAAAAACTGTAGATGTGGCTGCCTGCATGCACCAGGGCTGTTCTGTTGGGTGGGCTTTACAGGCACTTGCTGCAGTTTATTGCCATTGCACAGAATCAGAGAATCCCAGAATGGTTTGGATTGGGAGGGACCCTAAAACTCATCTCATTCCACCCCTCCTGCCAGGGGTGGGAACACCTTCTGCTAGCCTGGGCTGCTCAAAGCCCCGTCCAGCCTGGTATTGAACTGCCAGGGATGGGGCATTTCCTCCACCAGTGTCTGGACACTGCTGTCCATGTCTCAGCTCCATCCCAAACCCTGAGGTGAGAGTTACACTTTTGGGCTGATAGCCTGTGGTAAATAAAGCACAAACCACCTGGCACTGTGAGGAAGATGCTCTGGAGAGCTTGTTCCTCTGTCCTTCCATGAGAGCATGGACATGCAGGCGCAGGATCCCTTTGCACTCTTGACCTGCAGCTCATGGGCAGATCCAGCTCTGAGCCCATGAACAAATGGCATCAATGAAAACATCTCTGGCAATTGCCTTTTGCTGCTCCAGCTGTGGTAGTGATGTCTGAGGACTTCACAGCACCAAGTCGGGGGAGGACCCAGCCAAACCCTTGTCTGTGTGACATTCGTCCCTGAAATCGCGTAAGGAAAGGCACGGTGGCTGGCTGGGTCCCGACACAGCGGGATGCACAGGGAGACGCAGCTCCATCCAGCCTAAGGCAGCCAGGATGTAAGCCAACAGTTTCATTAGCTGGGACTGCCAGCGTCTGAGAAGCCGCGCAGGAAATTATACGTGATGGGGTGAACAAATTACCACCCAGCTCCGACCTGCGGCTCCGCGGAGTCGGCGTGCTCGCGGCTCGCTCCGGCTGGAAGCCGCGCACGGTCCGGCCCTCTGCCCTCCCACGCCCTGGCAGCGCCCTTTCCCTGTCCGCAGGATGTGGCTGGGCAGCAGCTGCTCACGGCATGTATGTACACATATATGTACGCACATAGGTACACACACACAGGTACACAAACATGTACACACACAGGTACACACACACAGGTACATACACAGGTGCACACATGTACACACACATACCACATACAGGTACACACACACATGTACACGCACACGTACACACACAGGTACACACACACACACACACACAGGGACACACACACACAGAGGTACACACACACGGACACACACACACAGGGACACACACACACAGAGGTACACACACACGGACACACACACACAGGGACACACACACACAGAGGTACACACACACGGACACACACACACAGGGACACACACACACAGAGGTACACACACACGGACACACACACACAGGGACACACACACACAGAGGTACACACACACGGACACACACACACAGGGACACACACACACAGAGGTACACACACACGTACACACACACAGGCACACACACACACAGAGGCACACACAGGTACACACACACAGATACACACAGGTACACACACACACACTGGTACACACACACAGGTACACACACAGATACGCACAGGTACACACAGGTACACACACAAAGTATGTACACATATATGTACGCACATAGGTACACACACACAGGTACACACACACACAGAGGTACACACAGGTACACACACACAGGTACACACACGCACCACATACAGGTACACACACACATGTACACGCACACGTACACACACAGGTACACACATGTACACACACATGTACACAGATATGTACGCACACAGGTACACACACACAGGTACACACACGTACCACATACAGGTACACACACACATGTACACACACAGGTACACACATGTACACAGATATGTACACACACAAGTACATACACACACACACAGGTACACACACACACAGAGGTACACACAGGTACACACACACAGGTACACACACACACACACTGGTACACACACACAGGTACACACACAGATACGCACAGGTACACACAGGTACACACACAATGTATGTACACATATATGTACGCACATAGGTACACACACACAGGTACACACACACAGGTACATACACAGGTGCACACATGTACACACACATACCACATACAGGTACACACACACATGTACACGCACACGTACACACACAGGTACACACATGTACACACACATGTACACAGATATGTACGCACACAGGTACACACACACAGGTACACACACGTACCACATACAGGTACACACACACATGTACACACACAGGTACACACATGTACACAGATATGTACACACACAAGTACACACACACACACAGGTACACACACCTGTGTGTGTTCTACACGCTCCCCTGTAGCCTGTCCAGCTGTCCCAAGCCATGGGAATAAGGCCGGGAGCCGACCCCGCGGTCCGCACTGCTGTGGTCCCAGCACAGCCCAGCCGGACTGGATTTGCCGTGCTCAAAGCACACGCAGGGAGGGTCTCTCCCATCCCATCTGCACATCGGGGACCCTCCCCGGGCTTCTCCCTCCTCTCCTTTACCCCACTCAGCAGAGGGCGAGCGCGGAGGGGTCCCCAGGGTGCCACGCCCGCCGCAGCCCCGCGCTCGGTGACTCAGGGCACAGAGGGAACAGCCGTGTCTCGGGGCGCTTCGCCCGACGTGTCGGGACCAGGCTGCCTTATGCAACGAGGAGCCTGGGCTTTCCCCGGCTGCCAGAGGGCTGAGACATGCCCCCAGCTCCCTGTCGGCTGGGAGAGGCACCGACCGGGAGGAAACCCCAGCCCTGGATAAGCAGGATGGCAGCAACAGCTGGTCCTGCAGAGCTCTGGGCTTCCTGGCAGGTACCAACCCAAAATGCTTCTTCCCGTGCTCCCAAGCCCTTTGGAGCTGGCAGAGCTCAGGTACAAGCTATACAGCTCCCTCTCTTCTTTCTGGCTCCCCTTTAACAAGAGGGAAAGCAGCCGGAGCAAGCAGGAGCCTTTGCAGCCCTGCCCAGCATCACCCCGCACCCCAGCCCAGAGCCAGCCCACCCCGTGCGAGGGTGATGCAGCCAGGAAGGGACATCGGCATCTCTGGCGCATCCCCCAAATCTCGCTTTCTCTGGCGAACACCTCCACCCCGCTGCCACGAGCTGCAGGGGCTGCAGGGGATGCAGGGCATGCAGGGGTGCCCAGGGGATGCAGGGGTGCCCAGGGGAGGGCAGGTCCCCGCTCAGTCCCCGCGCCGCTGATGGCCAAAGCAGGGGATGAGGATCAGGCGCTCGCCGCCGCTGTGGAGGGCGAGCGCTGCCTTTCCCTGCGGGATGCGCTGCCCTAGCCCAGCCTCCGTCCCCCTGTGGATCCAGAGCGGGGGATACTTACGGGCGGTGAGCGGAGGTGCCCTGGCTGAGGTTGGCCACGTAGGCAGCAGGGACGTAGCCCATGGCCGGCTCCCCCAGCAGCCGCCGGGCCAGGACATACTCGCCCTCCTCTCTGAGGACACGCAGTTTGTCCCCAGCGCTTACGCTCAGCTCCTCGGCGCTGCGGGCTGTGAAAGCGTACAAAGCGATACAGAGAGAGGACTTGGGGATGAAGGAAATGGAAGTCGCCTCCGAGTTCAGCGAAACGGAATCAGAGCCAAGATACCCCAGCGAGCAGCTCTCCGTCACGGAGCGGGGACGGAGCTTGTTCCAGAAGGATGTCAGGAAGGTCAGGCGCTTCCTGACGAACTGCTCCATGCCCGGCGATGCTCTGGATGCGGTGGGCTATGCCACCGCGCTCCGGGAGGCCGGGCAAAGGGGGGATGCGGGGCTCCTGCCGCCGGCCGGGGAGCTCATCCTGCCGGCCCGCGCTACCCGCACGCGTCTGGGCGCTCGCCGGCCCTTCCCGGAGAACTTCCTATTTCTGAAAGTGAAACTGGTTCGTCTGGTGGGACGAGTCTGCCGGCGGGACGAGTCTGCAGGCAGGAGTCCCACGCTCAGACCCACGGGCACATCTGGGAGACAGGCACAGCTGGAGCCGGGCTTGCTGCCATCGAAGAAGGAGGAGAACGGCTGTTGTTTTATTTAATCATTATTTTAAAGTGTGCTCTTTGCTTCTTACCAGAGCACCATAAACACAGCTCTCTGTTCTTCGAGCAGCTCTTGTCACAAGTGGCTGACTCCAGTTAATAGTCTTCATCTCACTTGTGCGGGAGGATATTTTTTTTTCATAGGACAATAATTGCATCCACAAATGTGGGAGAGTTAAAACAGAATTAAGGAGGTAACCTTAGATGAGATATGAAGTGTTTGGATATTTCCTGGCTGGATATTGGGGGGCTTATAACACAAGATCCTTTCTTCCTTCAGTCTACAATGACCTCCTAGAGTTACCCCACTCAAGCATTTGCCTCCTGACACTAATTCCCTGTTGCAGAGGATTGCTAGGGAATTTGCATACCAGATCCACCAGGATCTGGTCCTCACTCAGCTTCCACCAGAGATGGGTCCCCCTCAGAATCAGATCTTTGCCTGATGCAGGGTCTGAGCCAGCCTCAGGTGCTTGCATGGCATCCACAGCCAAGCCCTGGAATGCAACCCCCAGCTCTCAGTGTCAGCACAGCCACACTTCCCCAGCCCTGGTCACTCTTGGACACTGACATGCTCCAAACCCCCTCCCAAATCCCATCACCCACAGCCATCACCCAAAAGACAGAGATGACCCCTACAATCTTCTATGTGCACTTTAGGCCACCTGAAGATTGCTCTGGTGAGAAATCCCTACTCCAATCCCCCAGCCCCCACCTGGACTTTGTCATTTAACTGTTCCATCTAATTAGTGGGAGTTTTGTGCCTGGCAACCCCACTCCTGGCCTTGAGCCCATTATTTTGATTCTCCTCTGCTTGCAGTTGGTCTGTGTAGCTCATTTTGGGTGTGCAGCAGGGATTTGAAAGAGGCTACTTAAAATGAAATATGAAAAAATTCATTGTAGGAGTCTGGGCTGCCGACTGCAACCATGTGGGGTATGAGGAACAAGCTGGACTCACCCTTGGGTCAACAGCTCTAAACGTGCTGTGTCCTGCATCCTGGGTGTCCCATGATGGCAAAAAAAATTGCAGAAGGATTTCCTTGTCTGGGTTTTGGACTCAGCAATTTCCTCACCCTCTCCCAGGCAGAGGTGCCCAGGGCAGAGGGCAGGAGTACAGAGTGCTCCTCAGCATGTGCATTCCTGAACTGATGAGAACTGGGAAGAAAGGGAGTCTTTAATAGAACATTCTGCTCCCTCCTTACCCAAGTAGCACCTAAACAGCTGCCCCCTGCCCAGCTCACAGCCTCTCTCCCAGTGCCACACAGGGATGTGCAAAGCCTCTGTGCATTTCCCCTACTGTGTAATGTCTCTGTGCATTTTCCCCATTGTGCAATATCTCTGTGCATTTTCCCCACTGTGCAAAGCCTCTGTGTATTTTCCCCACTGTGTAATGTTTCCATGCATTTTTCTCACTTCAGCATGAGTAGGGGAGCTGAGGATGGAGCACAGAAGGGTTTGCAGACCAAAGGGAAGGGACACCCCTGTGCTGTCCTTCTGCAGCCCGTGTGACAAGTGTGCTCCTCACGTCACACTCCATCAGGAGCAAAAGGGCTGCCTGGTTATGCCCTGAAAAAAATCTGATGAGATGCAGCACAGAGAGCTTGTGCCTCACGGTTTTGAATGAGGTCTCACTGAACTTCTGGTGGGCAAAAGGAGACTGTGAACTGATTTACCTTTATTGACCTTTGCCAGGTTAGATCCTGCAGTGGTACCAGCGAGAGACGAGAGCTGATTTCTAACACACAAGGCTTTGGATCTTGATTTGCACCTAAATGAAAGAGTACTTTCAAATGACAAACATCCCTGAGGACTAAATACTGCCTCTGAGCTGAGCCTACCAGACATGCAGAGCATACACTCATCCCTGCAAACCTCTGTCTGCACAGGACACACATGCACAGCTCAGCCCTATTCCAGGAAAGAGATGATAAATCACAACCTTTTTCTAGTATCTTTTTTTATTATTATTTTCCTATTCAGTTCCAGGAGCATCCCTGCTGCTTTGAATCCCTTTTAGTACTATAAAACACCTAAAAAAAAAAGAAAAAAAAAAAGAATGTTCATAGAAGATTGTGGTCCTTGTGCTGTGGGAAAGAAAGTGGAAGGACGCAGTAAAAGTGATAAAGATAAGAATAGCACAGATATCTGATGGATCAAGTATTTCCTCTTCAGTCCCCGTGACCAGCTCACAAAGATGTATTAAAAACCAATCTGTCCACAGATTTGGGGTTGTGGTGGGTATACAGGGACTTCAGTTCTAGCACCACTAAGGAGCGCCTCCAAAGAGCACCAAAACCAGCAGAGCTGCCTGCACAGCCCTGGTTTGGCTGCAGAGCACCAGGGAGCCATAAACACAAACAGCATTTTGCATCCACCCGCGTGTCAAACACCACAGCGTGGCCTCCCAGCCTAATTGACAGAAACCAGCAGCTCCCCTCCACTAATGAGAGCACCCATTACACCTAATTAGCTGAGGTTCTCTTCCAGGTCCTGTTATGTTTACACCCAAAATACATCTTTCAGCAAAGAGCCTTCTTGGAGGGAAAAAAGGGAAGAGGAGCATAATTCCAATTAAACCTCTAAATGGGAAGAAAGTTGGAGAATGCAGGTCATGCTGAGGAAAATGGCTTTGAGGAATGGCAGGTGACTCTGGGGCCATGGGATGTGCCACTTGTCACCAAAAACTGGCAAAGCCCAGCTGGAGATCCACACTGTACCTGGCACCCCACCCTGAAACACCCAGCCCTGAGGTTCCTCTTGGTCTTTTGATGGCATCAGAAGATGGCTGGGGTTTCTTCTGGGCTTCGTGTTTCTTTATCTTTTTTAAAAACTGATTTCTCCAGATGTTTCCTGGCACCACAGTGCATTTGAGGAAGGTTTAGCCTCTTAATGAATTGTTGTGGATGGGTGTCCATGAGACAGGTCACACAAGGGCTGGTGGGTGATGACAGCAGTGCATGGGAAGAGGAGCAGAGTAGAACAGTGGCATTAAAGCAGCTTCAATTTGTCTCTGTTTCCTGGGGTCTGTGGAGGAAAGAGGCACCTTGGCAGACTCTGGGCTGTCACCATCGAGGGCAGAGCCCATCCCTGGGAGGCTGAAAAGGGCAGGAAGGGTCCAGGGGCTGAGGAGCTCGTAGACAGTCAGTGCAGAGGGTTCAATACAGCAAAAGTACAGTGGTCCTGGGACAGGGAGTGGTACAGGAGGTGTGAGAGCAGGCACAGCACCAGGGGGTCTCATGGTGGCTCTCTGAGCCCTGTAGGGGTGGGTTGGACTGGCTGGAGAGCAGGAGTGCAGGTCACAGGGCACCTGAAACGGCACAAGAAAGCAGAAAAGCTCTGTAAAAGCAGCTGGAGGCAGAGTGAGCTGTTTGTAGAGTGCCTGGCAGGTCTGGGGCAGGAAAACCTTTAAACCCACAGTAATACTTTTCAGGGACCCTGTAAAGCCAGGCCCCATGAAGGATCTGAAACAATGGCAAGGAAAAGCCAATTCATATATCACAGTGCAGTCTGTCACGTTTGTGAAGCAAAGTCCTTGTTTGAGTGGAAAATCTGTAAGGACCAAAACACCAAATCATGCTGATAAACAGCCTGGCCAGTCTCCAGGCTTTCCCTTTCTGCTTTTTCCTGTATTTATCAGCCCAGACCAACCTTCACTTGTCCCATCCTTTAATCTAACTTCCAGAGAATGAATGCCTCTCCTAGTACTGGCTGCCTGGAAGAACTGCATTTCTCAGAACTCCTCTGCTCCTGTCCCTGAAGTAATCATTTCCAACACATAAAACCCATTCACCATCTTGTTCAGATTGGCAGGTGCCACGGAGCTGTTCAGCCTCTCTGTCAAGGCTGCAGGGATCTCCATAGGAAGCAGGAGAAGGGAATTCAGGCTGTGTTCCCCATGTCCATGAACACCTGGACTGCGGTTCTGGCCAGGACTGTGTCATTGCTGAGAAGCAGTGGGAGTCCCCAGGCTGGCAGGGGCTGACAGGGACTTTACACAGGCACCTCACAGCTGTGCTGCCCTGGTTTGGGCTGAACAAGCAGAGGACTGGTGCCTTCAGGAGTGAGGAGCACGGTGACTCAGATGGGCAGGGGGAAATCTCTGCCAGTTTGTAAGCAAATGATGGATTGCTCCATCTGCCCAGATGTCCTTGTTCCCCTGGGGAGGAACCAGTCCATCCACTCCATCAGTGAGCTTTGTGATATCCCTCCCCACAAAGGTCCTTCCGAGGCTCTTGGATTTGGGGTTATGACATTAAATGTTGTTAGAATAAACCTACCCAGAGTCCCAGGAGAATAGGCCCAGGAGACCTCACCCAAACCACCTGGTCCATCCTATACTTATGTCTTTCCCCATCTTTGCCAAACCAGTTCTTAAAGGACCTCCAGGAGTGGATACGCCACCACGTCCCCAGACAGCCCATTCCAGTGAGTCACTAATCACTGCCAGCAGAAACGAGTGTCTAACCTGCTGCATTTAAGTCTATTATCTCATGTCCCATTCATCACCTCATTGCTCCATCCTCCCTGCATGGGAACACTGCTGAGGTGTCCCCCCACACTGACCCTGTGGGGCCCCAGCCCGGAACAAACACACTGACCTTATACAAGGAGGCAACATGGTCATCTTTTTCTCCATTTGTCCCCAGTCTTCTTGCCCTGTCCACGTGTGCTGGTGTTCCTGTGGTGCCACCTCAGTTGGCTCTCTAGTGCATTCACCTGGGGGGAAGAAAGCAGCAGCTCTGTGAGGAGTCTGCACCACTGCACAGATAATCTTTAACTT